AGTAGCTGCTGCTGCTGCTTCTGCTGCTGCCGCTGCTGCTACTGCTGCTGCTGCTGCTGCTGCTGCTGCTGCTGCTGCTGCTGCTGCTGCCGCTGCTGCTGTTGGTGCTGCCCTCGGGGGCCAATGTGAAGTGTGTAGAGACCAGATCCCGGCTCAACAGTAAAGGTGGCGAGAGGCGCGTACGTGTCCCCGTCGACACAAACCGCATTCTCGCCAGAAGGCTCAATCCACACACCCACGTGCTGACTCACGAGCGGCCTCACGCCCACCAAGTTCCTCGAGAACGAGGGGACGTGAATGCCGGTCAGAGAACCGGAAGGAACAGCCGGGCACGGAAGCGTAGTAGTGTAGCGAGCAGTGACTGGTCCCGAAGTGGGATCAGCCAGTGCTACAGAGACTGGCATAGGAAGCGGTGTAAGTGTCGTGCAGTCGCGGAAGAAACAGTCCATAGTCCAGAGTTAAAGATAGCGAAGCGTCCTCCGGAGAAGCTCCTGGACTAGTGTCTACACAAGTACCTACACTAGCAACAGGCACATCAGCAAGACTAGCACCTAAGCTAACAACACTTGAGTAAACAGAGTCAGAAGCACTAGAGTCAACAACAGCATACATAGCATGAGGAGTTCCGAAGAGATCAACCAACTGAGAAGCCGACATGCCCCACAGAGCGGGGCCGTACGTCTGAACAAGGGGAAGCCAGTAGCGGCAGTGGCGAGGGAGGTAGTAAAGGTGGGCAGCTGAGGGACAGTGCACCCGTGGAACAGTGGAGGGGGCACAACATCAGAGGCGGAGTCTACCGAGCGGAGGTTGCTCTCGACGTCCTTGAGGGCCGACTCAAGGACCTCGATAGTGAGCTCGCTAGGGTGCTTCAGAAGAAGCGCGTCACGAACCGAGGCAAGGCGGTCAGGGAGGCTAATGGCGATGAAATAGGTAGTAATCGCCATGGGGGGAGGGAGCAGTGCAAGCTGTGCGTCAGCGCAAGCAGCGCGGTAGCTAGAATCGAGCGAGCGCAGATGAGTGATCAAGTCAGCAGTGCACTCAAACGAGGCGAGGTCAGGAAACAGGAACGGAAGGAACAGGCGACCAAGAGAGACAGTGGTGGGAGTAGCGTGGCGGGCCTTGATCGCAATCAGGAACTCAATAGCCGTGCGAACCTGAGTGAAGTGGGTCTCCTCAGACTCAGGGTGATGCAGGCCGCAGCGTCACGCGACTTCCGCGCTGTCACGTCAGGTCACTGTCTGCAGGTGTGGGGTCATCTGCTAAGGGTGCAGGGTCAGCTGGTTCAGGTAGGTCACCGGAAGCGTGCGCCAACAGAGTCTCATGTGCCTGAACCTGGATCTCTAGGAGGCGACGCGTACGCAGGAGCCAGACCGAGAACTCGAGCGGCCTACCCTCAGCGTCAAAGCGCAGGACCCTAGGGGTCGCCATAGCGGAAGCGTAGAGGTGGATACTGCTACTGCCGAAACCCTAAATGCCTAAAGGGGTCTGCGTAGGGCGTGGCAGACAGTTCGACACGACGGGACGGGTGCGACAGGCGCGGACGGGCAGGGCGCACGTGGCGCGACGGACGGGCGGGGCGCGATGGACGGGCGGGGCGCAGCGGGGGCGCGACGGACGAGCAAGGCGCACGGGGCGCGACGGACGGGCAGGGCGCATGGGGCGCGACGAACGGGCAGGGCGCACGGGGCGCGACGGACGGGCAGGGCGCACGGGGCGCGTGCTACGGGACGGGACGGGAAGCGCGACGCGGACGGGACGGACGGCGCGACGCGGCGGGACAGAAGGGGGGCGACGCGACGGAACAGCAGGGACGACGGGACGGGACGGGACAGCAGGGACGACGGGACGGGACGGGACAGCAGGGGGCGACGTGACGGGACAGCAGGGGCGACGGCACGGGACGGGACAACAGGGGCGACGGCACGGGACGGGACAACAGGGGCGACGCGACGGCAGGGGCGACGGGACGGGACATCAGGGGCGACGGGACAGCAGGGGCGACGGGACAGGACGGGACAGCAGGGGCGACGCGACGACAGGGGCGACGGGATGGGACAGCAGGGGCGACGGGACGGGACGGGACAGCAAGGGTGACGCGACGGCAGGGGCGACGGGACGGGACAGCAGGGGCGACAGGACAGCAGGGGCGACGAGACGGGACGGGACAGAAGGGGCGACGGGACGGGACGGGACAGCAGGGGCGACGCGACGCAGGCGCAGCGGGCGCTAGGGCACGAGAGAGAGACGAGCGCGAGAGGCGCTAGGGGACAGTACGGGCGTAACGGGCACTAGGGTACGGGACAGGCTCGGGCGCTACGGACGTGAACGAGAGGAACGGGATCCTACAGGATCCTAACCTAGGTGATACCATGTCAAGAATGAAAGTGTTGGTTTCACTAAGGTTGGTTGGGGTACATAAACCTAACCCTAACAGTTGTACCCCATATAACACACATCACTAAGACTATAACCTTTGACACCCTGAACACGTAGCTTGCTTGGTGAAATAGTATATTGGTTTGATGCGAGCGGGAAAATAGCAGAATTTCAAGTATTTCTGGCAGGCGTTACATGTATGACCAGTAGTGTGATTTTCTACCTATTGTTAGTGACTGAATGCGCTAACCCAATTACCAAATCCGATAAAACACTCGTTACAAAAACATGTACGCGTTATTGTTTTTTCGTTATCGAGTCCCATGTTTCTTACCAGTGGCATATTTTCCCCCCATTTTTCGTAGCAATTGCGCTCGTTCACTCCTCCGAATGAACCTGAAGCATGTGTTCGGCATTCCCTGCCTGACGTGAGATGCTGTGGAGGCTTCTGGTGGTTCCAGGTGGGCTGGGTGACTGGTCCTGGTTGTTTTGCTTGCCACTTGAGTAGGCTTATCGGGTTTTCTTCCCACCACAAAAGGTGCCTGACAAGCCGCCTTCAGGAATTGGCGTTGATTGGTGGATGTTCATGCCTAGAGCTATGGCAACCGAAATGTGCGATACGATGCGAGCTGGTTATCGACACATCGCGACAAGAGTCATCACCTCACTTGTCCCCGAGACTGCTTTAGTGGGTTGGCTGGAGTGCACCTAACCAGATTGAAGGCAAGGGACCAGCAGATTATGACGTAAGCATCGAAAAGTTCCACGTTTGCGGCGTGACTGCTGACCACGATTCTTGCCGTGTACGACGCGGTTCACGTGACCGGCGGCATGCAGCTGGAATGGCCAATCGGACCTCAGAAGGACTCCTCTGTTTCTCCGATTGGTGCATCAAATTCAAATTTCGAGCCAATGAGCCAGATTCCCTACCAGAAACGACACACAATCCACAACGAAAATACTCACTGCCATCGAGAAACCTCGAGTGGTGTGGCTTGTTCGAAGTGCATGGACGGAGGCAGCAGAAAGCGTTGGAGAGGGCGTTGAGGGTTTAGGTTGGGCAAAAAAACGTTCATAGAGCATCCACGACACCTCCACATCGGATAAGCATCCACGTGGACGAACCCCCTTGATTTTCTGAGCATGTTACAGATTCTGTTCAGTATTCTTTTGTTGGGAAAGGTAGAATATCCGGATCACCCCGATCATTTATACCAAATACCTGCGCCTCGCCCCCTCGAACTTAGGGTGTGGATGAGGTATTGCGCACCATCGTAATCTCTCTCAACATCTTCTCCCCTGACCATAGGATTTTAGAAATTTCAAGTTCCACGAAAGCAAACCAGCTCAGAACACATCAATGCCAGACATCCAAACCCGTACCATCGAATCGACGGGTACCAGAGAATTCCACCATTCTCCAGTTTCGCGGACGTGGCAGCAGAATCCTTCGCGATTGGCTGTTAAACAACGGGTGACATTCTCCTCTCAGGGGGACGGAAAGGAACACCGCAACTGGCCGAGTCGCGCTGGCGTCATCGGATCTGCCGAATTTTCAAGACCCAACCCCAGAGCCAACGGGCTCCCGGTAACCAGGGATCGATTGCCGAATGCCTGACAGGCATGAAGAAGGAATCGAGGGTTGGCGAGGCGGGCGCGTGGGCTGGGCGCCGTCAACCTCCAAGGAAAAGGAATCTCGATTGGTTCCGCCTGGGGGATGCCTGCCACGCTGGCATGGACTTGGTATGGTTGACACGACCAGAGCGGGAAAGGGGGGAACGAGACGGGGTCACGGGGCAGTTGACGTAGGGAGACAGACAAACCGGTAAAGCAGTGTGAGCAGTAGTGGTGTCGTGCAAACTGCTCGAAGAACAGAACGGAAGACGAGGAGATGAAAAGTCTCGCTCTTGCTCAGTCAGGCAGATGTAGTACCTAATCTCAATCCCATTCACACCCTCAAAATTACAATTGCATTTCCTAGTCTTCATCTAGTTTCTAGAACCTCTCTTCAACCCTCTGGTCAGCTTCAGTTCCTTAGCTTTTGTCTTCGCAGCGTAGTGAGTATTAGGTTTCTCCTCGAAGCCTTCGGGATTCCATGGCGACCTGCACGCTAAACCCCGTTGATATCATTGAGCGTGCCAAGGCCGCGCGTAAGCGCAGGCTCCAGGAGCTCTACGTTACGGGAAGTAGGACGAGGCACGCAGCCAGCTCCCGGCTCGACGGGTCCCGTTTCGCGGAAACGGAAGAGGGTTCAGGTGATAGCTGGGATGAGTCAATCTCAGCAGACCCTTCCTCGGCCACGCCTCTTCCAGTAGGACCTCCTGTGCCTGACGAGTTTCACGGAAGCTGGGAACGAGTTGAAGCGGGTGTAAATAAAAGAGCGAGAGTTTCAGTAAAGGTGTCGACGGGTTCAGCAGAAGGACCGGCTACTTCCGTGGAGTCGGGAGAAGTCAGTGCGGGTTGCTCCGGACACAAACGGTCGCAGCTGCTTCCCATGTTCTCACAGGTGATCTTCTTCCTGGCATAGTACATGTTATAAATTTGTAGTTTTCGTCGCCAGCCAACCTCGTTTGTGGTGAAATTGACAATATTTTCTGTGTTGATGTGGTGCGTGTGTCTCTCAGACGGCTGTAACACTTGGGTTCGGACCGTCGGACTTGCTGACGGCTGTGATGCTCCACGACGCGTGTCAATTACGATGCCGGCTCGGTGGAGCGTGCTGCCACCGCGACACGGTGCAGCGTCACGTGCTCGCCCTGACATGCCTCTTCGTCGCTCACAAAGCCAGGGCCGCGCGCACATCCACCAATTCCTTGAGGTTCGTCACGAGACACACTCGCTGCCACTCACTGCCAGTCGCGTTTCTGTTTAGCCTCATACGACGCCGCGTCTGTGTCCCAGCCAGTCTCAGAACTCGTATCTAAACGAAGATGTGTTGTGCTTGTTTGCTTATTCCCGTCGTTCCACCATGCAGCACGGACGCCTTCTGCCAGACATTGGCATGTCTAGAGGGTTTATCGGCGGTCAAGGGCTGCATGCTGGAGCGTCAGCTCCACTGGGTGTCTCGCCTCTTCCCGTCCCTGCATCTCCCGGCTTCTGGTGACATGGAGGCCGCTGCTGGGCTCTTACGCAGTCTATGGTGAGTACCAGTTGGTTTTTGGGAACTTAGAGCTTGACAGTGAACCAATGGTCCCCAATCTGGCCTTTTCAGGGGTTAATGATAGTTGGAAGATTGTCGTTTGGACAGGAATTGTAGTGGCATGTGGCTTCGAAACATGCAGTTGTTTTAACGTTGATGTGTCGTCTCTGCAGGTCGTCGTTGTTTCGCGACGGCAACTCGTCGTCTCACGCTCGCTACCTCGCAGCCTTCGTGCTTCAGCTGAGGACTACGGTTTTCGGCCGGATGAAGGTCCCTCCCAGTGTGGTAGCCGCTGCCGCTGATGTGGCTGTTCGCGGTGTCAAGTCTACACGGAAGCAGGTAAGGACATCACAATGGCTGATGACATGAAACCGATGTGCTATGGTAGGGGTTCTTGGAGGGTTTTTCGTCGCGACCTGTTGTCTCACATCCCGACCTTTCCTGTGCGATCGTTGTTTCCCTTTCAGGACTTGGTCCGTGCTTTCGCCTTGACGTCGCCAGCTTCGCAACTGCGTGGCCATACTGCAGGCAACGCGTCGCTCGCGAAACGCGTTGCTCTGCCTGCTGTCTCCGAAGCATCTGCTGTCGCCATGGCTGCTGCAGCAGGAGTTCTTACTGACCTCGCTAACTCCCCTGCTACCACTGCCGTCGCAGCTCCCTCGCGTTAATTTCTAACCCAGCTTCCTAGCTCCGGCCATTTTTATTCAGAGCCGCCCACCGTCAGATCTGCAGACCATCTTCTAGATCGGATTCTCCAGATCGGATTTACCATGCCATGGCATGCAACCCCTGCAGAGCGTGCCATGCAATCCCTCCCCCCATGACATGCCATCTCTGCAAGGGATTGCTTTGCCACGCCATACCCCATACCTCATACCTCAGCTTGCCACGGACCAGTTCAGCGGTTGATCCTACTCCCCTCAACACCTCTCTGGTCCTGGTGTGGCCCATATACATACAGGCTGTTCCGCCGACTGCTCCCATCTAAAGCGCTCCAGGAGTGAGAATGGCCGCAGCAACCTGCTACAGCAGACTTAAACCCCCTTCAGCGCTCTGCTCTGCTCCAGTGCCTCCAGTGCTCTGCCCTTCAGCGCTCTTCACTGCTCTTCAGCGCTCTTCACTGCTCTTCAGCGCTCTTCACTGCTCTTCAATGCTCTTCAGCGCACTCCACGCATTTGCGTTTGAGTTTTCGTTTGGTTTGGTTTGGAAGCGGTAACCCAGCAGGCCAGTCCCCCCACTGTACACTCATCGAGTTCAGCAGTTTCCAGGATGTTACCACATCCTTCGTCTTAAGCTGTGTGCAGCTGTACATAAACCATGAGTTGATCTGTGTGCAAGTACCGTAGTTAGTAGTTCTTATCCTCTATGTACAGCTTTTTATTATGCAACGAGTTTATTGTTCAATTCCGGATCACCAACTTACCAACTACCTGGGTTTTGGTGCATGAGAGCTACAGTTCAGGTGATCACACTAGCAGATCAACAATGTTTTGAGGTACTGATAAATGTCACACGGCTTTTGATGAAGTGTAGCTGGTTGCATCAGCAAATCCCCCTTGCACCAAATTTGGAAAATATTCCCTCCAACCACATCTCTGCTTCTGGCCCAATCCTTTGGTTTTCTTGCTTGGTGATAAGCTTGAATGTCTTCCCATTTGAACCAGAAAACATCCTTATACTGGCACAGGGAACCAGAAAACATACGGTATTGATGCAAATAGCCAGACATTTGCGTGAAATCATCCAAAAGCTTTCTAAACCACTACTGGTTGGAAGATCGAATCAGATTCAGACTACAACAGGACATCCGATGCAGTGGGGTGGAGTTGCATGGCATGAGGCAACCATGCTTGCCACATGCCACACACCTCCACTCCTCCACCCCTCTTCCCTCCTCTTCCTTCCCACCACACTGTCCTCCTTGCCTTCCATGATCCATCGTGCTCCTCTCCTCTTCCCTCCAGCTGCTGCCAGCCTGCAGATGGCATGATGCCATGCCACACCATGGCATGCCACACCATGCCATGCCACACCAAGACATGTCACATAATGCCATGCCACAGCATGACATGTCATACCATGGCATGCCACACCATGGTATGCCACACCACGCCATGCCACACCATGACATGTCACACCATGCCATGCCACAGCATGACATGTCATACCATGGCATGCCACACCATGGTATGCCACACCATGGTATCCCACACCATGCCATGCCACAGCATGACATGTCATACCATGGCATGCCACACCATGGCGTGCCACACCATGGTATCCCACACCATGGCATGCCACAGCATGGTATCCCACACCATGGCATGCCACAGCATGGTATCCCACACCATGGCATGCCACAGCATGCCATGCCACACCATGACATGTCACACCACAGTATGCCACAATGTCCCATACCACACTGCATCATACCACACTGCATCATACCACACTGCATAAAACCAGACTATGTCACACCACGCTCAATCATACTGCACTGTATCGTATCATACCACATTAGATAATACCTACACGCTGTATCATACCACAATGTGTCGTACCATACTATATCATCTCGCACTGTAACATACCACACAACATCATACCACTTTCCATCGTACCACACAGTATCATTCCATACTGTATCATACCACACTAGATCATACCACCCAGTATCATACCATATACCACCCAGTATAATACCACACTGTATCATACAATAATGTATCATACCAACCAGTATCATACCACACAGTATCCATACCATACTGTATCATAACACAATTATCATACCATATACCACATAGTATGATACCATACTGTATCATACCACACTGCATCATAACACACTAGATCATACAATTATGTATCATACCATAATGTATCATACCATACTGTATCATATCATATTGTATCATGCCACATTGTAGTTTCATACAACACAGTAACATACCACACTATTTCAAACCTACACAGTAAAATACCACACCGATTCATACCACACTGTACCATACCACACTGCCTCAGACCACAGTGTACCATACCATCTTGTATCACACCACACTGTATACCACCACACTGCATCGTACCACACTGTATCATACCGCACTGTATCACACCGCACTGTATCATACCACACTGTATCATACCACACTGTATCATACCACACTGTATCATACCACACTATATCATACTATACCAAACCACCCCCCACCACCACCCCTTGCCAACCCACCCAGCCCCTTCCCACCTTCACCTGCCGGCAGTAGGAGCAGCGAACAGCCCACTACTCCCCTTCGGAAACAGCACCCCCAGAAGCTGTGTCTTGTGGGGCGAGGTGTGGCAGTGGAAAAGCATGATCTGGCCCAAGACTCAAATCCCACCCCTGACGTGGCTAGAGCTGACGCGAACCAGAGCCGCCGGCCGGTCGGCTCTGACGGTGTCCATTAAGCCTTGAACGCCAGATCGGTTACTTGAGCACCGAGTGCCGTGCCGCGCAGATTCCACCCACCACACCCCACCACCACAAGCCACAACCTCAGAGGATGCTGCCGCTAAGGCAGTGACCTGCCCACTTGCTCCCATGCTTTCCACCCACCACCATCCCTTCAACCCATGCCTCCTTACCTCTACCTACCATGGTGGTGCAGAGTGCCATGATGCCTCAAGCTGCTGGGAAGTGGGGAGAAGAGGAGGGACGAGGGGGGTGGGGGATCAAAAGAGGGATGCCTCTGTCCGCCCTTGCTCCAGTGCTCCCTCCCTCCCGCAGGCTGTAAGAAGGGGTCGGGAGAGGAGGAGAGGGCGGGGGGGATTGAAGAAGGGATGCCTCTGTCCGCCCTTACTCCAGTGCTCCCTCCCTCCCGCAAGCTGTAAGAAGGGGTGGGGAGAGGAGGAGAGGGCGGGGGGGATTGAAGAAGGGATGCCTCTGTCCTGCCCTTCTCCAGTGCTCCCTCCCTCGCTCAGGCTGCAAGAAGAGAGTGGGGGGGTAAAAGAGAGAGGAGGGGATCAGATAACACACCTGATACCATACCTCACCTGATACCATACCTCACCTGACACCATACCTCACCTGATACCATACCTCACCTGATACCATACCTCACCTGATACCATACCACACCTCGCTCACGACTCGACCTAACCTAGTCTGCCCTCTAGCCCCCCACCCCCCACTGCTGCTGCTGCTACTGCTGCTGCCGCCGCCGATTCTGCTGCTGCAACTGCTGCTGCCGGTCTGCTACTCAGCTTCCTCTGCTCCAGTCTTCATTCGATGCCAAATGACCTGGTGGGGGCAGAAGAACGGGGGAAGTAAAAGCAAGTGAGTTGGCATGACCGGAAAAAAAAAACTAGAATCGACGAAAACGAGAAGGCCAAATTGAAAAGCAGAAAGGGAGAGGGATGAGGGCAAGAGGGGAGGTGACGTACCTTGAGAGGCCAAGCCCACCCCCATACTCTCCCTAGTGGCAGCGATTGGCAGTGCTGCCTCCCTCCCATCCCCACAGGTACCTGCACGGCCACCGGGGAGGGGCGTGGGGGAGCGTCGGTGTTGACCCCCGCCCCTCCCCTCCACCTGCAAGGCACACACGCAGAGCTGGTCAGTGGGTAGTCATGGGATCACCAGATTTGAAAAGTGTGAGTCAAACAAGCAGGGCAAGAGAGGGGAGGGGCCACTGGAGGGGGCACAGGCACAAGCTACAGACTCCCAACGACACCTGAGGGATGAACCTGCAGTAGGGGCTGAACCTGAGGGGGCTGTAACCTGAACCTGAACCTGAGGAGTTTACCTGGAGTTAGAAAGAAGAGTCTGTTGCTTGTAAGCTAAACCCCATCCAGTGGCCAAAGCTTCAGTGACAAACCAGAAACAGAATTGCAGAAGACAAGGATGAATCTAGCAAGACGAGCTCGCAAAGGTGACGGATCAGGGAGGAACAGTCACTTAACTGGCAGATGAAGAAACTTCGAGAGAGCGTGTTGCCTCATCCTTGCTCCCCTCCCCATCTCCTCGAGTGTGCGTGTCCCGTTGGATGGCTAGCGACGTGGTAGGGGCAGAAGAAAAGGGGGAAGTAGCAAATATTGAGCTGGCATGACCAGAAAAAGAGAAAAACTGAAGTTGACAAAAACTAGAACACAGAATTGAAGAAGAGAAAGCGAGAGAGATGAGGGCAAGAGGGGAGGTGACATACCTTGAGAAGCCAAGCCCACCCCCATACTCTTCCTTGTGAGCGACTAGTAGACGTAGTGCTGCTGCTGCTGCCACTGCTGCTGCCAGTGTGCCCTTCACCCCCCTCTGCTGCATGCAGAGTGTTCTGGCGGGGGACTGAAAAAGGGGAAGTACAAGC